GTGGAGCCAAAAGTGAATGACTGGGCCAGGCTCAGGAGTGAAGGTTAAAATTGATCTGTTAAAGAGGAAATCAGCAGCATATTTGAGGGATATAGGCAGGGGGAAGGGAAAAACAACTTGTGAAATTGTGGAAAAAAAAATTTTAGAAAGGAGAACTGAAAAAGAAAAGTTAGAAGACACTGAATTGTAGTAAAAGTTGAAAGGACAGTAAAGTGAATGACTGGGCCAGGCTCAGGAGTGAAGGTTAAAATTGATCTGTTAAAGAGGAAATCAGCAGCATATTTGAGGGATATAGGCAGGGGGAAGGGAAAAACAACTTGTGAAATTGTGGAAAAAAAAATTTTAGAAAGGAGAACTGAAAAAGAAAAGTTAGAAGACACTGAATTGTAGTAAAAGTTGAAAGGACAGTTGGGCAAAGCAGGAAGAGGAAGAAAATGGGATTGGTAACGAGGGCTGAGCAAACAGTTGGACTTCTAAGAAATGTCTATAGCACTTGCAGATATGAGCCAAGACTGACTAGAAGTTATCATGGTCAGTTTAGGCATGTTTCAAACTGCTGTTTTGAAACTTAGCCGAAACTTCTGTGGTGGAAGGTGCCAGGGATTGGTGGGAGGGGGTAAAAAGAAAAAAAAGCAAAAATGTCTTTGTTACCTGAAGGACCATAAAGATTTTCCATGAAGGTTTCCTTATTGGCTGCTATGTGGAATACCTCTGGTTTGCAGTTTGTGCATGGGAAATGTCAGACTTGGTTCTTTTAAACAGACTTAATACTTTCCAATTCAGTAAGCCATTAGTCTGAATCACAAATACTGGAAGAGAGGAGCTTTTTAAAAGCAATATTGCACAAGATTGAAACCATGACTGGCTACTCTCTATAGCTAGGCAGTATCTGTCTAGTCACAACTAAATGAAACATTTGATGTAACTAGCTGTCAAATGCTTTTTAAACTCTTTTTACCCCGCTCTTTTTTTTTCTATTTAAGGTTCCATAGATGTTTCTTCCAGTGACAGGATTTGGGGATAATTTCTTACTGTGAATATTGACTTATAAAATTAACTGACTTTGTGCCTTGTTAAATAAGCTGATTTTTAAAATAAATGCAACAAAAAAAATTGAGCCTTCTGAACTGTGAAGTAAGGTCCTCAGTTAAGGCTGTTGAGATTATCATATTGTGGTACAATGGTATGAATCTCTTCGGTTAAAATCATGGAGCCATGGGCTTGCAATCAGTTAGCCTGAGGGTATACTGGTGTGTCCTGGAAAGATAGGGGGAGTCCCATCCAACACTGCAGGAGTCCCAAAGAGCTGGACTGCAAGTGATTGGACCCTGCTATGGGTGACACCTGCTGCTGTGGTGTAAGATCCCAAACTGGACAGCAGCATTGTTGAGTGTGTATCCTAACAGTATCTTCTGCTGGCAAAAACCTTGAACTGTTCATGGTACTTCCACTTTTATTAGTTTGTATTTTTTTCCATGAAAATTTTAGAATTAGTGCTTAACAAGGCATTAATTACTCAAATGACTTCATCCTGTAATTCTGTACATTTATCTCATGACTGCTGTCTTTGATAACTCTCAAGCTTGCAGGACCAATACTCGTTAGGCAATACAGCCCTCTGAGTCAGAGTGTGTATATCACTTTGCTTCTTGTTTCTCTGTCTGATTTGTGTTGTCTGCAGAGTTACAGGCTCACTCCACTACAGAGCTAGACAGCAGGTTACCATGGAGGATGTGGAGGTGATGAGGGAGCAAGAGTTTGAACGCTGACATCAATGATGTCAGTGTCCAGTTGCAGTCCAGCTGTGACCCTTCTGATGTGTGGTTGGAATCTCAGTCATAGAATCACTTAGGTCGGAAAAGAACTATGATCAAGTCCAACAAAGTGAGCAGTTGTGACCTGCCAGATTGGTGACACTTGGCATGTTCATCTCACCACAAAGATGCCAAAATGCCATTTGTCCTAGAATCTGCCACATGCAAGGTGCTATTTTATAGGAGCCCAAAGTCCCTGTCTGACCTTTCTTAGGCTGTCCTGTCTGCTCAGCTCTACAGGTGTAAGGAGCTCACCAGGACTTGTGAGCAGGAGACTTATTTCTGCTCCTGTAAGTGACCATATATACCACTACACATTTTCACAGGACTCAAAGATGTAAGGTATGAGGGGCTTGCTATAATTTTTCAGGATTTACTAATGGCTCAAGGGGATTTACTGACCTTATAAAGTGTAGTTCAACTTTGAAATCTGATTTACCTGAAGGCTAAACATATTCAGGTTGGAAGACTTTTCTGAACTACATGACAAAGTTGGGCAAGATTCACTCATTACTGCACCTGTTAATTTTGTCACTCCCTCTAATCACTTTTATTTTTTCAGCACAAGATTAATGTAATTTCTATATAGATCCTGATTTGGTTTCTCTTTCTCTGTCTTAGCTCACGTTCAGGCATGCCGTGCCTTGATGATTGCTTCCATCCTTTTGGGATTCCTAGGTGCAGTACTCTCACTGCTTGGTTTGAAGTGCACAAACATTGGGTCGAGCGATGAAGATGCAAAAATGAAGTTTGCTGTCACAGGAGGATTTCTTTTTATTTTAGGAGGTAATATCAAGGCTAAAATGAGAATGTTATCAGTACTTTGTGTTGCTTTCACAGCCAGACTAAATGAAATGAACACTTGTTCTTGGTTTAAAGCTGTTACAGCCATTAAACTGTGCTTTTTAAACTTTCTCTGGTAGGTCTGTGCTCCATGGTGGCTGTCTCGTGGTATGCTGCGATGGTTACTGCTCAGTTTTTTGACCCATTGTACGCTGGGACCAAGTAAGTTAATGGACCTGTCATACCATACTCTGGCATGTGTTAGACAGCTGCACTAACTTCAGCTATTCCAGAGTTTCAGCACCTGGATGGATCCCATTATCCAGCCCTACAGGAGGAAAAAATTGTCCTCAGGGCAACTTTTCACCTCAGAGATGTTGGTGGGGAGGGAGGAGAGTTCTTTCCTGGAATATCAACCCCACATCTGAGGGGGTTTTGTACTGTGTTTGCATTTTCTTCCGAGCCTCCATTAAATGCACATCTAAATGTTATGAAGAAGAAAAAGTAAAAAGTATTACTTTTCTTTTGCATTTAGACCAAAAGAGGTACAAAATTCTAGCTGTGGCTAGAATAAAATGCCTCAGATATACAAGTAAGGGGAAATGGTAGAGAAAGCGGCTTAAGCTGTGTACTAGTGACCTGCAGAGAGCTGAGAAACACTGAAGTGTGCTGCTTGTCTTACATGTGTCTTATGTGTTAACTTTTGTTTGCCTTTTGAATTAAAATGAGGCAAAATTTGTGGGACTATCAGCTAGTACAGCTGCACACAAGTGACTTTAAAGGTACAAAAGCCCTTACTCTTGTCTGATGTAATAGCAATAGTTGTCAAAACCAAATGGCAGCTTATGGCACCTTATCTAGGTGTCCTATTTAGCAATGCGGAACAAGGGTAGAGGTGACCAGGCCTCTCCTTCAGATGGGGAAAAGGAGAGGGAAATGTTTTCTGGGGAAAATGAGACATCTATAATTTGTCAGTACTGAGTATATAATACATAGTTCAGTAAACTATAAATCTTTGGTTGCTAGGATCATATTTGGAGTGTTTCTGAAGTTTCCGCCTGGGGATCAGTTCGGGGAAGTCGGAGGTGAAGTGATTTCTGATGAATCAAAGTACTCTAAGCAATTGCTTTGGTTGTTTGTCAGTTTTCCCTGTGTTTTCAATGAAGCACTTACAAAGAAATTGCACTTGTGCACTTGCTTTTTGTTGTTTTATATCCCTTGAGAGAACTATATGAAGGGTAATAAATACATTAGAGAACTGAAGCAACTGTTGATAAGGAATTTCAGTTAGTGGGATAGTTAGTGAGTTTTATAGTTATCTGCTATAGCTTTGGGGCTTCAACATCAATGGCTGTTAATCAGTTACCAGATTGTTTGCATTCAGTAGCTAAAGGAATCTTTTTTTTTTTTAAATATCTAAACTTCATGTTTAAGCTATCGATTCCCTGAGCAGGTCTTGGTGAAGTAACTTTGATCATTGGTAAAGCCACATGTGGACTCTGTGAGACAGGTTTGCATTCAACTGTAGGCCAGTATTGATCTTCATCCTTTAGAGACTGGCAAATCTGATTTTTCTGATTGCATTTTTTGGGCTAACTGCAGCAAATTAGTCAAGTTAACCTCTGCTAATTCTTAGAGGAGTTTCTCACACAGCTGTGAGGGGAAACTAAGTTCTGCAAGTTCTTCCTATATACCTTCCTTTGGTATGACATCCAGAGCATTCCTGTCTGTAGATGACTGGTGAGCAGAGAGGACTGTGGGCATTGGGCAACACTCTCTGGTTGTTCCTTAGTATTCCTCCAGCAACTTGCACTGCTGTGTTTTCGAGATAATGACTATCTCTGTGTTCTGTGTTTGGAAAGCACCTAAAGGAGTGCAGACTTTGGGATCCAATGTGCCATAAGGACACAGAGAGCAGTGAACCTGTGTAAGCCTCTGAAACCCTCCTGTTAGCAAAGAATTCTGCAGGCAGAAGCTTCAACACTTCTAAATGATGATTTTGTGTTTACAGGTGGAAAGAGAATACACATCTCTGGTTTCAGTATACCTTCAGTGCAGTCCACGACACATATTTTACCTTTATATTGGGTATCTCAGACCACAGAGGTGTATTGTGGATATAGTCTGTGAATATAAAACTTGTCTTCTTCTTTTTTGTGAAACTCCTGCCAGACTTTTCCAGGCTCAATTGTGTCTAGTCTTTGGGACAAATTCATTATCAATGAATTTCTTGGACTGGAGTTCCTGAAAGGTATAGTTTTGTACACTAAAATGGGATCTATTCTTTTTCAACCTAGGACATTCATAAATGTATTTCAGCCATACAGCTGAATATTCTTTAAGATACCTAAGTTTGAGAACTAGCCCTACACAAACAGCTGTTGTAGGTGACCTAGTGTCATGTCCACAGAAAACTGATTTCTGTGGTTAGCCTTTTCTCAGGGCACAGACAGTAAGGTCTAAATCTTTCCGGTTCACAAAATTGCTTCAGTGACACAGCCAATAAAAGGGCAAAATAAGTGTTGTGGACAGCACAGAAGGTATATTATTATCATTTATTATCAACAATTTGTTGAATGTACACAATAATTTATTGCTACTTATCTTTATGTTGCTTAGTACTTTCTTTACAGTCACTAGTTTGGCAGAACACAGGTAAGAATTTTACTGAGCAGACAAAAAGCCAAATCTGTTCTCTGTTAACTGGTGAAGTACCTTCCTGTCATCTGATTTCTGTGCAGACTAGAATTTGTTTGCTGGCATGGTTTGTGAACCTTATGGCTTAGTCTAAAATAATGCCTTTTTGATCTTGTTATAATCTGTTTCCATAAACTCTTTCATGTTTCAGATATGAACTAGGAGAAGCTCTGTACTTAGGTTGGGCTGGATCAGTTCTTTATATGGTTGGTGGGATCTTACTGACCTGTGCATGCAAAGGAAAGGAAAAACAGAATTACAGGTAATCTTGAATTCATCAGTTGAAATAATAGCTATCAATTACACACCACTTTGTATACTATTCTCTCTCTCTCTTCCCCCACCCTGGTATAACTATGTAGCCATATAAAATACAAGCAATGCTATGGCATGTCAGACTTCTGGTGGCAGGGGATTTTGATCCTTCACCATCAGCAGTGACCTATAACTAACTTGTGTTTGATGTACTCCTGATGGTTCTAAGTTCATGATGAAAATGTGCAGTGAGAGAGTGAACTGTCTATTGCCAATAGAAAAGTATACCAAACCCAGTGAATTCTAATCCAGTTTCTCTGCAATACTCACTGTGATTAAGACATTCAAACACCATTTAATTTGCAGGAAGTGTACGGGTGTTTCCTTCCTGAAGCACATCTAACTCCCCTTACAAACATAATTTTTTTTCTTGTTCTTTGTGGAAATGTCTTGTTGCACATCACCTCAGAAAAGCTGAGATGTCTGGCTTCAATATTTAGCCTTGCCTGGGGTTTTTTTTCCTATCTTAAATTATTGACACATACAGCAGATCCCTTTCTGAAGGAGAGGGATGAAATGGGCAGGGATAGCAGAGGTCCATGTTGTACTGGCTAAGTGTGAGAGGATGAGAACATGGAAGGAAGTAGCATGCTCACTGCTGCTGTATTTAATCTTAGGAATGTTATGTCAAAACTCATAGTAAGTGACTGTTCCCCTGATACTCTGATACTCCATTGCCTAATCTGAAACCATTTCAGTTTTATGGTAAGGTTTCATCAGCCACATTGGACTTTAGATCTTGCTCACCATACCTTGATACAAAGTACCAAATGTCCTGAAATATCCTGAAAATCAGGTAAAACTGATGTACGAAATAGAAGTTCAACATGACAAAGAACAGCTGAAGGGGTTGGCCGAAGACACTTCTATTTTCCTTTCTGATTCTCATGATTTCTATGTTAAAACCTGCAGCTTGCATGAAGGCATTGAGGGCTAGGCCCTCTACTGCTTAGGGACATGACTGAAATGCCTCAGGGAAGAACACCCATGAGTTTTGGTTATGAGAGAGAAGGCTGTGCAGCCTGTCCAGGAGTCCATCCCTTTCCCCTTAGCTACCAGACTGATGAGAACAATGTCTCTGATTTCTGCCCCTTGTGAAGAACGTGCTATCAGGGGGTTGGATACAGACCCAAATGAGTATCCTAAGTATCTGTAACTATGGACACGTGTCTAATACCTGTTATATCTTTTTTCTTTCTCGATTCACAGTGTCAACAAATATGGATATTCAGCAGGCCAGGCAGCTCTTCAGCCACACACGTACCCCAGGACCTCTGAGACAGTCATCAGCAACAAGGAGTATGTCTAAACTTATCCTGTGCACCACCTGTAACATTTGTAGGTTATGAACTCAAATAAAGAAGTGAGCTACTTCCACGGTGCCGGTTCCAAGTTGCAATGTTATACCTTAGTTCGGAGCACTGTAAGGAGGAAGGTATGGTTTTCAGTGTACAGCGGAATGATTTTCAGATGTAAATAGCTTTCTCCAGAAGATGCTGTGATGTGAGATCCTGCAGCAGGAAAGTTTTGTGCATGCTGGTAAAATTTAACCAGAGTGCAGTATATGCTGACACTTAAGAGCAACAGTTTCTATTTCAGCTGACTCAAACATATGGAACTGATAGCTGTATCTGACTGCAAGTTCACTTGCCTCGGAGTTAGAAATGTATCGTGTTTTCATTAATGTTTAGCTTCCTACTTTTGTTGTGCAGCTTTAGCTTTTGACAGGAAATAAAAACCAAACTTTATTCCACAGACTGACTGTCCTGGTCATTAATCGGGATCTGATGTTACACTGAAATTCTTATTATGTATGACAGTCAAGGTTTGTAACAGCTACAAAAAATTCCCCAGCAACCACTCATGCTCAAATCTGCAGATGTGCAACAAATTTCTTGCTGGTTGTAATGCAGGTACCAAAGATAAATGATACAGAACGAACCAAACACAGCTGGGAGTGGAGAAAGCTTCTGCTGTGAAAATGCCTTGTGGTAACTAAGGAAATGACAGCCTGAATTTTTTATTTTTATTTCCACGTTTTCAGCTTTTAAAATAATCCTATTTTAACTTTGAGCAATCTTTAACTTTGGGAACTTCTTTTACTGCATCTGAATTGTCTAACTCATGTACTTCCCCAGTGGCTTTGTTCTCTGTCATTGTTCCCTCATTAGAATTTCTGCCTGAAACCACTCCACTGCTGGGAGCATATGTTTGCCTTGTGTGAGCGCTTAGACAGATGGTGATGAGCTAATTTTACTTTGAATTTATGCTTCGAGCAACGTGGAATAGAATTTCACCCTGCAGGTTCACAGGTCTCATAACTTGTCCCTTTTAAATTACAAGTGTATTCATACAGTTTGACAAAATACTGTCATGAGTCTGTATGTTTCTCCCTACTTTTAATGGCTTATGATAAACATTTTGTAGTCTCATCAAGAAGTTTCATGCAGTTTTCTTGATGCTCCAGTAGATAATTTCAGAAGACAACCTGCAAGCAATCTTAGCAGACATTACTCAGCCGTGGTGCTTGCATGCAGGTACAGCTGACTAGTAAACTGACACATTAAGGCATGAGCTGACTGATAGGTCTTGTTAGGCTTAGTAAGCAGAGCTGAAAGGAGTGAGCGTTGCCAGTGCCATCTTCTCCCCTCCACTATCCACTGTTAAATCATTCTGTTGGTGTTTTGAAGAATAATTTCAAAAGCTGAAGAGGCACCACTTTCAGTGAGAGCTGAACTCCTTCCCACCATCTGTATATTCTGCCCTCTGGATTTTTAGGTGATTTTATGAAGGTACTTTGGTCTAGCTGAATGTGAGGAAAATGGCAGAGACTAAACATCAACCAGTGTTGATTTCCCACCAAAGCTTGTGTCAGCTCATGAACATGAATTATGAACTATGCTCCAGTACGTGAGCAAGAAATTCTGAACTTCCTTGGTCTGGCATCAGGTCTTCTAGTGGCATCCCTGGGAAGTTTAATTAAAACCCAAGAGTAAAATCCCTATGTGGTAACTCCTTCATTGGTTCAGTACATCATTATCGTTTGGGGGAAAATAACTCCTGAAGATTCCATGCCTTTGGTTTGTTTAAAGTCCTTCCAAACATTTTCTGTTTCTGCTGTTTCTCCCTGCTTATCTGCCCCATTTCCATGCACCTCTTACAGAAATGCTCTGAGTGAATGTAATGAACCATCAGCCTAGTGCTGGGGGTGAGGTGTTTTATGTACAGATGATTTAGGAAGTGATTTTTTTATTTTCTTTTTTTTAAATGTGTGGCAAATCTCTCTGTTTAAAACATCTTCACATGTCACTGTTTTGAAGTCCTTTGCTCAGCACAGCAGGCTGCTTTGGTATCTGCAAATCTTCTTCATATCTCTGTAGCTGAGACCAAAATCCTGCATTGGGTTCTGCCACAGGCCTGGCAGCCTTCACAGCCTAGGGAACAGGAGAGACGTGGCAGAAGCAAGGTATGTCAAGCACTTGGGGGTGTCATGCAAATGTTTTTTTCCTTAGACTTTTGGGAAGATTTACTTTGGTTTTGATTTGGCTACAGAATAACAAACAGCTATTTTGGTGAGCTGACCTCACTCTGTGCTTGCTAAGGCCTGGCACGTGGTCCTGGTCATGGAAGGGATTCACGGCTAAGACATAAAAAGGAGCTGTTGAGTGTGATGGAAGTGGGACTGTCTCACAAAGTGCAGCGACACTGCTCATGTTAGGATAGCATGAAAGTTGGTCACCGTCTGCAGGACTCAGTCAAGTACTGAGCAAAGCAGTTATGTAAATACTGTGGTGATACACTGCCAAATGGGTGCAGATTAAAAGCACAGAGAGTAGTCTGCACTGGATGGGCTTCCCAGGAGAGCTGAGATGCTATTGCCCATAGCTAGCTAGTCCCTAGCAGGGTGTTTCTGTGATGTATGGAGCTGCCACATAGCTGATAGGAGCAAATCCTGTAAAACAATTTCTGCATCTTCTCACATCCCTTTCACTTATTTTCTTTATATCTGTCTTTAACTTAACCTATTGCAACTATGCAAACAATATAGAAAATGTTCACTAAACAACCCACTTTGGATGTTTGCTGCCAGTGCTTAAAGCCTGTTTGCATTTGTTGTTATGTTCATCCCAGAAACCTCACCGAAAGCTGATTTGTCCAAACTGAGAGTGAAAAAACTTACAGGGAATTGTTTATTGGAATAGAGTATCTACATAACTGCTAATAGACAGGTGAGAGCACCAAAGTAATTCCATGAGAAATCATCATTACTCATACTAAGACTTGCATTTCCTCCCCAAAAGATGTCTAAATACAAACCAGGGTACAGGTACATTACCTCAAACGCCTCCTTGAGTGGGAGCCGTCGGTGTCTCATCAGATAAGCAGTGCAAATGGCAGCGGATCGGCTGCGGCCGTTCTTGCAGTAAACCAAGCACCTTCCCCCGCCCTGCACAGCCTCTGCGATAGCAGCACTGCACGGCTCGAAGTACCGGTACAGGTCCTCGGCTGGATCGTCGAACACGGGCACGCGAATGCCGCGGAGCCGCGGCAGCCCAGGGAACGGCTGCTGCCTGGTGACATTCACGCAGAAGGTGATGGCCTCACGCTGCAGCAGCTCCTCGTCGCAGGCTGCCCTGGCCGTGCCGAGGAGCAGCGAGGCCGTGACCTTGAACAGCTCCAACATGGGCAGCGCAGGCCGCAGTCCCGGCCCCTCCGCACGGGCTCGGCGCTTGGGTCTCTTCTGCAGCGCACGGCTGTGCTATATTTATCTGCTCTGCACTGGCTCCAGGCGCGTCCTAGGTGCCGCTACAACCCAAGAGCTGCTTTTAGAACGCTGAGAGCACTTTCAGCATCCGCAGCTCGCTTGTAAAGCAGTTGGACTTGTACAGTCCCTGTCCTTACAGCAGCTGTCTACACAAAATGAACCGGCTGTATTCCGCGGGGAAAAGCTGATCAGCACTGTTGGTGCAGTGATGCAACATTGCTCTGCTCTCCTCCAGACCTTCTCAGTGCCCCTCGTCTACAGCAAAGCATCTTCTGAGTACCCAAGAAATTATTTACTAGGATGGACAGGTGCAGCACTGATCTTTCTGGACTTCAGCAAAATTGCTGGCGTGGTGTCAGGGCAGAGAATATCTTACACCAGTGTGTGCTGACACAGGTTTGAATTGTGCAGGATGGGCAGGGATGGGGCCAAGGGCCTGGCCAGATGATTGCCACATGCCAGGCAGGTGCTGCAGGGCTGATCACAGGTACCAGCTACTTCCTGGCTGAGCTGCTTCAACCCTCTGCTTTCTGGTGAAACAGGAGCATGGACTGATATTTGCCAAGGACACAAAGATGACCTGGGCTGTCACAGCAGCAGAGCATGGACTGAAGGGACCAGTGTCAAACACAGTACCAGCCAGCAGGGAATTAGCAGTGAGGAACAAGGATGAGCTTTTAGTCTATCACGGAGGAAGCTGATCTGCCACACAGCTGTGCCACAGCAGCCTGTTAGTGATCTGCTGGCGCTGGGGCCAAGGGAGACACCTCCCTCACATGAGCACAAGAACACAGCGTCCCCTCCTCTTGTCCTGCACATGCCTCAGCTGTCCATGGACTCGTTCATCTGCCTCCTTGCTTCCTTCACCCAGGGCTCGTGGCTGGAGCAGGACTTTGCTGGCCCCAGGAGGCACAGTTCAGGCTGGGACCCTGCAGTTAGAAAGGAGAAAGCTCAGCAGGAGAGCCTCAGCCTGATGCCACCCACTCTGACAATGTGGGGAGGGCTCCTGGATTTCTCTACAGCCACCATTTCCAGGACTTTCAGGCCTCCCCTGGTGTTGGCTCTCACCAGCTCAGGACTTCTGTAACCTTATTCCCAGGCCTTGATGCTGTGGTTCAGATGAAGAGCCTTCCTGCAGTCACCACCAAAGATTTTCCTCATGGAATGGGCACACGTCAATTCCCTGCACTATAGCAAGGAGACAGCTGCTGCCTCACCTTCCTCCTCCCTCCCAGAAGATGGCAGAGGTTTGTCTTCTGCCTGCCCTCATTAATGGGCTTGCTTGGCCCTTTGCAGGAGTCCCTGGGTGGTGGTTCGTGGATGGGCTCCTGTTCAAAACAACACTGTGATCATTATTTCGCATGGCATCACACTTGCTGTGGCATGAACCCTCCACTGATCCGTATGGGTGGCAGCAGCCCAGCAAATTGCTCTGGGATTTGCCAGACAGGCCTGGTGTCACCTATTGGTTTACCAGGCCCTGCAGCTCATGCCAGCACTGGTTGGTCCAGGTGTTCCTTGGGTGCCATCATCCTGGGGCAGCATTCTTGTCACATTAGCACCAGCAAATATCACTGTGGCTGCACATGTGCTCACTCTGAGGCTACGGATGTTTACTAGCTACCTGCCTGCAGCTGACTGAAGACTTCATGCCAGAAAGGCTGTTCCTTCCCACCAGCCTGCCCTGTATCGTGTAGCCCTGCTGAGGAGGAAATAGGAAACAGGGAATTGTTACACAGAGTCACTATAAGCTAAACGCAAATGCCACCTCCTGGCAGGGACGACAGTTGCTGCCTCTGCAAGAAGATGGTTGAACTGCAGGGTAAGAGCCTCATCCCCTGGCTAGACACGGTCTGACACCTCAGTCCAGATTTTGCTGGGGGGTTTCTGCCCTTGGTGCTACTGCCGGTTGGGGGTACAGTGCAAACAGCCCTGGTTACACTGGCTGTCCCTCATCCTCTTGCCATGCAGTGCTGTAAAGTGCCTGGGCCCACGGTCTTGCTGAGCTGCCTGCAGGTGCTTGGGCTGGTGTTAGACCCCTGAAGTCTTCCTTGCCCAGGGAAGCAGGGCTGTATGTGGCTGCAGGGAAGCAGAGGTTGAGCTTATATCACACCCTGCACCAAGCTCTTAGCAGTGGATTTGCAAACATGCAGTGTTCAGTGGCATTACAAACTGCAAAAATGTTTACAGAAAACTTTACTACATGCAGAGCTGTAAGTGGCTATTATTTAAGGTCATAGTGAGACACAGAGGAGGCAAAGGAGGTGACTGGTGTGCAAACAACTTCTCCAGGGAGAAGACCTGCATTTCTCTACTTGTCTGTATTTATATAAATGTGTGCATGTGGTGCTAATAGCTGTAACTGCACGACAGGAACCTAAAGAAATACCTACTCACTCAAGGGTATCACTCAGTTTATTAAATTTAGGTGATATTTGCTTCCGGGTAGACAGATACACTTTTAGTAGTTTCCAGTTACCAAGTCTCTCTTAGACACTTCATGAGCAGCCTCTGATGAGTTACCTTGACACCTGTGTTCACCCTCTTCTGGAAGTGGACAGAGCTGGAGCACAAACCTTCCTGCTCCACCAGTTCAGTCCCAGGCTCATGCTCGAGATCAAACATCCACCACACTGCTTCACTTGCTGTGAACTCTGCCAACAGCTGCCCCAGTGCAAGGCCGTGATCTGGAATTACCACACCACTTTGTCAGGACTACCAAGGGCATTTCCGATTCCTTATACGGTTATGCCATGACTTTCTGTGCATCTATATGAGAAAGACAACATTTTGCAACTTTGCTTACCTTATTCCCACACATACCATATCCACACAACCCAGCAGCTGCTCCTCTGGATGGCACAGGCAAACCCTGTCGCCAACACTGACACCAGCCCAGTACAAACACAATTTCATTCTTTGGGACTCCTGACCTGGCCTTTATCTGTGCCTTAACAAGGAAAAAAGAAGGAAAATGCCAAACTCAGCTTAAATGGAGAAGAAATAACTGCCCTGTAAATACAGATTTGTCTCCAGCCTTTTTATTTATACAAGGATTCAAAGAACATATTTCAACTTTAGATAAACAGTGCAAGAGAGTTACAAGTACCTTGGTAACAGAAAGAAATAGGTAACTGTCCAGCTATGCCAATAATAAGTGAAATAATTCTTACTCCTGCAGATAGAAATGCATCTGTTTAAAGCAAAGGTGGACTTTAGATATTCTGCTATACCTTAGCCCCTACCAAGCCCACCAGAAAACAACAGGCAGCTTGTCACTTGTAAATGAGAAGTAGCTGTGCTCTCAAAGCCTTTTGAGACCCTCGCCCTTGGTTAAACATACATGTTATGGCACAAAGAGCAGGCTGAAAGACAGAGACACTTGGAAATCCACCATTTCTGGTTCTCCCCTTTCCAGGGACGGGGTCTTTGTTAATAGTTTTTCCTAGACTACTACCCCCTCCACATCCCTGTCAAGTACAAGGCCTTTTCACACCAGAACACCATGAACCACCGTCTTGATAACGCTGAAGAAGATGTTCCTCTCCAGCCAGCCCAGTTCCCCAGAGCTCCCCTCTTGTAGCCAACCCGCAGCAGCCACCAGCCACGGGGCTGGGGAGGTGTGTCACAGCATTTTCAAACAGGCAACAGCCCAGGAAATGTCATTTATAAGCACTGAAAGGCCCCAGGCTCCATACCAGCCCAAGCACAGGCTCAGGGCTTGTCTGGGCCTGGGCCGATTTCAGCTTGTTGAGCCACACCAGCAGTTGTTTAGCCATCAGTAACTATGGTTTGCTTTAGTTTACAGTGATGCCGAGTCTTGGGGCAACTTGGCCTTTACAGCTCCCGGGGGAAGGTGGCCAAGCACAGCCCCAGGCCACTTCATCACAACAGGCTGGGGAAACCACTTCAGGACAACAAAGAGAACAGAAAAACTGAAAAGACAGGAACCAACAAAGAGCAGGAGCACAGGCTGACTGTATGAAAAGGTATCAAAATAAACCCAAGGGGGCCCGGGCGAAGGAGGGAGGAAGCATCACCACCACCATCACCTGCACACCCAGACCTCAGGCTGCTGCTGCTGGTCTCAGCCCAGCTCAGCTCCTGGAGGATGGAAGCAGCTGCCCTCAGGGCCTGGAGAGATGTGGAAGTGGGAGCTCAACCCCAGCCCAGGGGGAAGGCATCAGGAAGGGTTTCTCCTGCGTAGCAGGTTTTACTCTTTCTTTGAGGTTCTGCCTTATTAATTTGAACTATCAGGTTTTATTCTTGTAACAGAATCACTAGTTTGGGCTATTAAATTGTTAAAATATTAACTGGACAATCAGCAAATTCTTGGCTTCACATTTAAGTGTGAAGGGGCCTATAAGAAGCTTTTGAGGGTAACAGGCAGACAACAAACACTAACTGCACAGAAATGGAAGTGACAGGACTTTTCTTGCAAGTTCCCATTCTGCAAAGCAAAACATTAACCTCAGCATCCGCATGTTAAAACCCCAACCCAACTGTGTTTTGAAGAGGGTACAATGCTTTAATGCCCCCTCCCTCACAGTTTTTTTCTGTGGCTATAAAGGTTTTGCAGGATTGGTTCTGGGGATTTCTGTAACCAAAGGTTAAATTTGTATTCACAATTCTGGTTAAAAACCATAAAAATTAAAAGAAAAGATAAGAACTCTTCAGAGCAGTGAAAGTCATGTGAAATTGCCATATATCTAGGAGTAAATAAACCTGTACAAGTCCATGATGCATTTATTCTCTCCAAGGTTCTGATGGGCCTAGTGGTGCTGTCTGTCCTTTAGCTGATGTCCAGCACCCTGGCGTTCACTTCTGACACCTGACCACATTAGGTAGGATTTTAACCTTACAAGAAGGTGAGGACAAGGCAGAAGGGATGCCCAGTAGTGACATTCGTCACTGTGACTTGGAGAGGTGAGTCAAAGCTGGCCTAAACCCTCTGCCTAGCCTGAGGCCCCCTCAGTGCCACCACCAGGCCCAGGCAGGGCAGGCAGTGAGCTCACTCTGCATCTGTCCACGCCACCTTTCGGCATTACCTTGGCTTGTGCTCTCATCTTCCTTAAATTGCACATTCTAGCAACTGCTAATGTTAAAAATGCCTTTTTTTCCCTTTCTTAGAAAACAGCCAAACCCCAACCCCATATTTGCTCAGCCCAAAGGCACATCTCCTCTGGCAGGACAGAGGAGAAATGCTCAAATGCTGTGCAGACCAGTAAAGCAGGAGACAGACCCAGCTCTGCCCTCCCTCTTGCCCCAGTACAAACACATCTGAACCTCAAACCCAACCCCTGGGTGTGCTCTTGGCCCAACCAGTCACAGTGACTGTGTTGTATCTAACACCTGCTAAACCCATGCCTCCTCCAGCCAGCACTTGCTGCCCCTGTGAGGCACAGCAGCATGTGGAAGCCTTGAAGCACACAGCCCTACAAGCACAGACACTCCTACAGCTACGTGAGGACATTTATATCTTTCATCAACCAGCCCCAGCCTAAAACCCCTGCACACAGTCCACCCCACCAAGCACTCTGGGGTTAGGGCAGTAGTCTGCATGACCCAGAGGTGGTGTGTGGTGGGAAGGGGTAGCAAAGGGTGAGCCTGGCCCTCCCCTGAGCCAAAACAGAGCTGCCAGCAGGTGTCTGACCCTGCTGTCTCAGCCCATCTCTGCAGAGGTTAGGGAAGGTGCATTGGATGATGGGGAAGGAACAGGGAAAGTGGGAATTCATTAAAAACCTACAATGCATCTGGAACAAACACCAAAGGAAAAAAAATCCCAAACAAAATGTGCCCTGTCCTCACGTCCCCTCTGGCAGATGCTGCCTTGAGCCAGTCCTCTGTGTAGGGACACTACCCAGGGCTGATTGCCACCAGCCCCTCTGCCCTAAGGCAGCTGCCAAGGGGGACCACAACCAGTCCCAAAGATCTAGTTAGTAAAAAGTCCTTGGTTTTTCTTATTACCAAGAAAAACCAAACAGATTTCTGCCCATGGCTGGGGCCAGAGAAAGAGGAAGCAGCATAACTGTCTGTCACGCAGAGAATCCCACTGTGCATATTTTTCTCTCTCTGCTACCTACGCCGGTACTGCACTGCAAGTAGAAACTGGACCGTTGTTACTTGGGTAGAAAATGGCTTTCCAATTAGCATGCAAAGAAAAAGTACCCCAAACCCCAAACCCTAACACTCAGTCCCAGTCATTTAGATGTAGGAGACCTACATTTCAAATTGTCATCAGCTACAAGCTCTAGTCAAGAAACCCACTTGTCACCTTTCCAAAGAAAAAGGAAGTTCTGCATTTCTGGGTCCCACAGCCACTGCCAAACTGTTTCAGTTCAACCCACCAAACCTGCTCACACTCCTATGTATGCTGCTGGAAGTGAAGGGCCATCTCTGCCCACCTAGGAAGCACAGAGGAAGAACCCGAAAGAGCCCCTGAATGCAGCCCGCGAGCAGCGCCGAGGGTCCCAGTCTCTCCGTGTCAGGAGCCAGCACTGCCCTCGGCACTGCTGTGCTGCTGGCAGCAGTGCTCTGGCCAGTGGCTGGGGAACAAGGTCAGGGCAATTGCATATTCCACTGGAGGCAGCAGGAGAGCTGCTCTTGGAGGGGCTGGCTGAGTCCCCCCGGAGCCCTCTCTGCAAAGGCTTGTTTCAGCCTCGAGAGCCAGTTTGTGGCAAGAACAAAAGTAAAACAATGAGGTACGGAAAGAAGGGCCCAGCATTGGGAAAGACCAAGAAAGAAGAAAACAGCTTGAGCACTGCCAGAAATAGCAAACAACTGAAACCTTTCGAAACCTTTTTCTCCTCCCTTTTTTTGTTGGCTTTTTTTTTTTTTTCAGTCGTTCGGAGTTTACAGTGCCATTTTCTTAGCACATTTCTGTGGCCAAAGTGAAGCCCTCAGCCGCAGTCTGTTTCCTGGCTGTGCCAGTGAGTTACCGCCACAAGTGCTGCGCGGCGCTGACCGTCACCGAGAGGAGGAGGAGGAGGGACACAGAGGGCAAAGATCTGCTGCTGGCCCCATTGACGCCGTGTCCAGACTGCTTGGGAATGGCGTGTGTTTCTGGCTGCCTGGTGCTGGGGCTCTTAGAAAGTCTTTTGCCACAGACGTCGTCAGGACAGCTGTCCCCACTGCCAGAGCCGCTCATGTCATCACCTGCACAGAGACAAACATGGGTGAGCCCTGACTGCCTCCCAACCCCGGGAGCTCTGGCCACCAGCCCTGTCCTGGCCCCATCCTCCTCTCTGCATATCCCCCACTGTGGGATACGAGCCTGTACCTGTCCTCCAGCTGACTGACCACCCAATGCTGCAGCAGCTGAAAACCTCCACAGCAGAGAGAAGGCCCTGCCAGCAGGGCTGGGCTGGGACTGGAGAGAGCCCCTCAGGTTTCAGTAAGGCACGTGGAGCAGCACAGCCTTCAGCCACCCCACAGCAAGTCAGCTGCACTTGAGCAGCCCCTTGGCAGTCCTGAGCCAAAAGCCAGGTCACCACAGCCCCTCTGAGCCCCCAGAGCTCAGCAGCAGGGTCTGCTCAGCACCTCCTGCCTGCCAAGGACCTCTCCTGTTTCGCTCTACTCACTTGTGTCTTGGAAATCCACGTCATTCCCGATGTTGGCGTTGCCCAGTCGGTTTGTCATGATCTTTAGCTGCATGATTTGCTGGCGAATGGTCATGTCTGGCTTGGTGATGTCCACCTCCACCTCTGGGTTATTAATCTGGTTAGCTAAGCCATCCCCCATCACTTCGGGCAGGTAACTGGGAAGGAAGGCAAAAGGTTTAGATGTCATGCCCAGTTCAGCTCAGCTATCGCTGTTACAGACACCAGTGATAATACAGACTCTTTGGACCCCAGAGACGCTGCAGCATTTCCATGGACAGGCACAGACTGCTCACTCTGAGCACGTGGGTCTGCAATGATGTGCAAGTGCCTTTTATCAAACTCTCCCTCTCACCCCAGCACAGTGCTATCCTGGCACCTGGACCCACTCCGTACCTGCCCTTGGTCATCCCGTTCCAACACTTGTCGTCCGATGCTGCACTGGCCATTACTTTTTTGCTGCACAGGCTGCCAGGCAAGGTGATCCAGTATGTCTTGAGAGCTGTCAGATTCCCTTTGGCATCTAAAACCTGTAAACAAAGGACATGCTCAGGGCCAGGAGAGCTCTGGGTCACCCCAGGGCTGAGGGAAGGACAAGGATTCAGCCTATTTTTTTTTGTTTTGTTTTATCATCACAAAGTCTGTTTTTACACAAACAAGGACATCAACCTTCCCCTAAAGACCAAGAGTCAACCCAAGCACCCAAGGCTGAAGGTTACATGCCAAGAACTGTTCTGGTTCCACAAGATTAACCAGAAGACCATCTTCTGGGCCATGAGGGTAAAGCTGAGAAGCAGCCTTGGTGGGAGCCAGCAGGGCTCTGCTGGGTGTCTGGCAGGCAGGTGAGGAGCCTCCGTGGGACCATGGCAAATCCTGCAGCTCACCATCCACAGAACCCAAAATCTCCATGGAGAAGCTCCTCTGGCCTCAGTATCCAGGTTGGACTGCCTGAGGCTGAATTACACCAACAGCAAGGAGCCTCTTCAGATATTTGGCACCAAATCTCTGAGAAAATGGTTATCAGCAAACTAGACCCTGAGCCTGTGCAGACGATTGGAAGACCAGAACTGCTTAGGTCACACCAGCACTTGGTCTTCAGACTTGTTATTGAGCAGCCTGTGGGATGGTCTGACCTGACAAACTCACCAGCATCTCCAGTGCCTGCGCAGAGGATTTGGCTTCCAATGTGACCTTCCCCCGTCTTTTCTTGTCCTCACTGCTGGAGCCTTTTGTGCTGATTTTGGGATTTCCACAGCCTTGGAATACCTGAAAAACAAATCAAACTCTATCCCACTGTACCCAGAGAGCAGCAGAAGCACTTTGAAAGTACAACTCCTCAGACTTGGCCTCTAGGATCAGAAGAAGGGTGCCCTGGAAGTGCCTGTTTCTCCCAGTCTCTGCATGACCAGTCCAGGCCGTGGCACCTCTGCTGCAGATCACCAGTGCTGGGCAGAAGACACATACTGGTGGCAAGAGCGCCCAGACAGCCAGGCTAAACGGGAGCATCAGAGGTCAGGAGGGACTTTGCACTGTCAGTTTCAGTCAGAAAACATCAGCCTTTACAAAGAATGCCATCTGACTTGAAAAGAGGGCTCCAAGCTTGTTGTGGTTTCCAGGGTGCTGTCAGAAGCTATTGATAAATGTGACTTTCCCTGGTGTCCCCTTAAAGCAGAGAAGTCAGGACCGCAGACAGGAGCACTGCTGACACAGCCTGTGGTGAACGCGCTGGTTAGTGTGTTCTGACAGCCATCAGCAAAGTCCTAGTGTGGACAAGAGTCCCTTTGGTGACAGTGGGTCTCATCAGTGTGTCTGAGGGACATTCAGCCTCACAAGCCCCTCCTGGGCTGCACTGTCCTGCTGACCAGATGGATCTGATGACTCTGGCAGTTCAGCACCAAGTCAACTTGTACACCTGTCTCCTTTGCTCTGTGCAAAAACCCCACCTTGAAAACTGCATGTACAGCATTTTCAACATGGTTCTACCAAAAAAACCCCAATTTGGTTTCACTGCTCTATCTCACTGGCCTATTATTGCTGTTGGCAGAAGACAACTCCCCTGGGAGGTAAAAGCCCAGGGAGATCTCCAGGACAGTGTCTCCTGCAGCAGCTCCAGCACAGCACAGTACCAAGGTGATCCTTTTGCCAGCCCAAGGGCTTCAGGTAAGG